GGACGACCACATCGCCTCGCTCCAAGCCGAGCTCGAGCTCACGACCAGCAACCTCGCACACGCCGAGCACGCGCTCGACCAGACCAAGCGCGACCTTGCAACGTCCAAAGCGACCGAAGACGACAACGCGGTCCGCCTCTGTGAGGCTACGAGCACCATCCAGAGCATGGGCGAGCACATCCAGATGCTTCAAGCGGACCTGGACGGTCATGAGCAACGGGCGCTCCGTGAAGCGTCGGCGAAGGACGACGCCTTGGTCTCGCATCAAGATCGCATCAACGATCTACTGGGTCAGCTTGCCGTGGCCGAGTTGGTTGCCAGCAGTGCCCAGCCTCTTCACGAAGCGACGATCGAGACCAAGGACGAGACCATTCGCTGCATTCACGTTCACCGTGACGATGGCATCCAGGAAGCTGTCGACTTACTCGACGCTGCAGCAACGACCACCGATCTCAGTCCAGAAGTCACCGAAGCCGTGTTGACAGAAGCCGAGGACGAGCTCATGCAAGTGCTTCAAGTCGCTCGAAACCTGGTCCAAGCCACAGTTGCCGAGTGCCACAAGAGCCTGGCGACGAACGACGCCGCAATCAGTCGCCACGAAGACGCCTCCGATGTGCGCCACCACCACCCGCGCATCTCGGTGCATCGAGTCGACAGGCCAGCACGATGGTAGTAAAACCCCGATATGTAGAACCATGTCGTGATATTGTGACAAATGGCAGTTGTTGGTCCAGGCAGTGGTGACGGGAAAGTGCTGGTAAATTGTATAAAGCATCAACGATCGGTTGCTGCTTTCCGAATGCTACACGTGGGCAGACGAACGTCACGCCTTGAACGGCACGGGATAGGACCAAGGATCAACAACACCCTTGATAGAACCAAGAGAACAATTTAGAACCAAGAGAACAGCATTCTTGATAGAAGGTAATAGTAGTACCAAACGGAGGAGAGCCTCGATGGGAGAGCCGCTCGTCACATCGACCGCTTCCGCACCGACGAGGGCACGTCGCGGGGTCCAACAGTAGATATTTATGAGGTGGCGGCGTTGCTCCAGCGAGATCTCGGTGGTACCAAGGCCACATATTTATGGCCTTGGTAGTACTTTGGTTTTCCTACGCAAGACTGGCGGTCGTCGGGATTCCTCGTGCACCCAAGTCGCCGCCAAGATTCGGCGCGGGGTCGTTGTCTTCAACGGGCAGCTAAAAGAACGCAACTTCGCACCGCTGTCGAAACGTTTCAGTGACGGCTTTATTACTCGATGCCGAGTTGGGTTGCTACTGTAAATCGGCACCTTGCAGTCAACGTCACTGCAAGCACGGTAGTGGAGCCAAGCACGAGTTTCTTGCGCAAGGTAGCGTCTATCGGCAGTACCTGCATTCCCAGTCTCTTCGCGAGAGCCCATCAATTAAGGCTGATGATATTGCTAGCAAGCAGCCACCTCGTGTTGAGGTTATGCACACGCCCATGCATCCCGTGTTCTGGTTTCCAGATTCACTCGATGGTACTGGATCTGAGGGTCGAAACAAGGGTGAGCCTTGGTCGAAAGCAGTATCGGGAGGGTCATCCCGGCAAAATCATGGCGCCTATCGCGCTAGTCTTACCACAGTGCATTTGCAAGTGAACGACACGGAACTGCGCTGCGTACGGGCGTCGTGGTCGTCGCCGCTGCTTGCTTTTGTCACAAGGTGGCTAAAGACGCGTGGAATTAGCCTATCACCACAGATGATGTCGATTGGGTCTGCCGATCGAGTTTGAGAGGGTCTTCGTTACCACTGGGCATTACGTCGCGCGTCGGGAGAGTGCTGGCATTTCGAAATAAAGCAGTTGGATGATCTACCCGGTCGACGTCGTGCTCAAGGCGCCTGCGCAGTCCAAGCTCATGGCGCTGCCACTGCTGTACTTGCTGCAGTCGCTCGACAAGACGTTCCTGGACCGCGTCCTTGCCGTGCTCGGCCACACGGACGGCCGCGACAAGACCGTCAAGATCGTGCAGTACTTTTGCAAGCTGGCGCTCGCGTTGAACCAGGCCAAGTACAAACCGCTCATTGGCACGCTGGCCAAGCAACTCAGCGGCGCGCGGCGGGTCATGCGTCTGGGCAAGAGCCTCAAGGTCGTCAACAACTCGCTTGATGCGCTCGCCGAGCCGGCGGGCTGGCAGCGCACCGCGGCCATGCTCAGCGTTGGCGCCGGTACTGTGGGC